CAGGAGCAGTACATTTGTCTTAGAAGAAAGGACTCAGTGATAATTATTGCCATCATAGGAAAGATAGTTCTAGACAAAGAATGGTCTGGGTTGTAGAATATCACTGACTCTACGAGGAGGTGTATAGAAAAGAGGAAGGCCACTGCACACCGTAATTTATAGGAGAAACCTAGTACTGCGTTGAAGGAACATTCTCGGTGTATTGCAGTTTAAGTAAAACCAAAGAGTTAATCCAGCAGCTCGGAGAAATAAAAAGGTTCCCACTTTGAAATGGAGGTAGCAGAATTTATCTCTGAAAACAGGGAGGTTATGACTACGAGACACCATCAGCTCAGCAACCTAACAGCCCTCACAATTTAGTCTTAAAGCTCAAAAGAATTTTTAAATTAAAGTGCAAAGTAATTTAAGTAACAAGACCTCAACACAAGTGGAATGTAAATTCTCTTTTCATGCTGGGCTGAAAAAAAATCCACAAAAATCAAAGGGATTCCATACAATATTTCACAGAGTGTGAAGAGCATTTTTCACATTCACAGTCTTGGTTAAACCCACACACCCATGAAATCAAGCCTGACTCTTGTCTGACTTCAGGACTCCTGGGTTTCTGAGGTGCTTATCTAGAAGTCCTGGAGGTGAGAAGGCGCTCAGAAATGAGTGGGTCATGTGTGTTTTCCGTTAACAACCCATCACCTCCTTATGTGTAAGATCTGTTTCAGTAGAAGTGGAGTCGAAGTATTGCGCAAAGTGCAGGCATGGATGGCAAGCAGTCGAAGCACTCGGTGAAGGATGAACATTTAAGAGACAGGCCCAAGTTAAGATGAAAATGAAGCAAATCCTGTGGCCAAAGGAAAGTCACGAAGAGAAAGACTTACTTGATGGAAAGAAAATTTTAATCAAAAGCGTGTGACTACTTATGAGACAGTTAGGGGCCCAAAACATTGTATAAAACCATGTTCAGTGGCATAACCATCAGTGCCCTTCTTGCATAATTTCTAGAATACCATCCATCCTCAACCTTTGCTTCTATTACCATTGCATTGAGTTGTTCCAACTAAAAAATTTTAATACAATTTCTTCTGTACAGCTCCCATCTCCCAGGTGTGTCTACCTTGTTCGCAGCCTTAGTGTTGGACTTAGATGTTACTTACCGCATTCATCTTATCTCCCTAACACACACACACACACACACACACACACACACACAAACACACACACACACATTCATGTCTCCTCTGCCTCTGGTATTCTTTCCTTAAGTTTTCTTGACAATCTTGGATAGCACCCAATCTGTTTTCCAGATCCCACTTCATTAGCTCTTTCCCTCCTTAGCTCAGCTCCTGTGACATTCTGTTCTTTCATGACTAGTAGACACAGAATTGTCTGTTCACTTGTCTATCTTCTATTGTCTGCAAGACCAAAAATTGTACTTTCTTCAAAATGTAGGCAAAGATTTATTTAGAATTTAAAGAGGAATCACAAATGAAACACTCAAATTGTTGAGAAGTACAAGTAACAGGAAACCACACTGCGTTCTTCCTTATGTATGCTTTGTTTTTGTTCTGGGTATGTTCAGTGTCCTGTCCTCCTTTCCTGACCCTCTTCTGCAGGGCTGCCAGCCCTCTCTCTCTCAGTTTCTCCCTGTTATCCTGCCCCACCCTTTTTAACATTCCAGAGCACTTATCCTTTGGCTGTCAGATGTATTCTTACTTGTTTGCTTATTATCTTTATTCCCAGCTACAGCATACATTTTGTGAGGGCAAAGATATTTCTGTCTAGTTTACCATCTTTCCCTGACATCTAGAACGTAAGTGCTTAGCAAATGATGGCTGGTAATGGTTTGAATGTTTTAAACAGAATTTCATCTTTTATAAAATATATGAAACATATGATACAGTTGTTATTTTAAGAAAGTAATAAGAAAAAAGGCCACAAATAGAATAAAATATTAAAAGTTCATGAGGAACTGACAGTGCTGGTATATGCCTTCTAATTCCAGCTCCCTGGGAGGCTGAGGCAGGAGGATCACAAGTTGGATCCCAGCCTGGGAAACTTAGCAACTCAGAGAGACTGTATCTCAAAATACAAAATAAAACATGGGCCAGGGATAAAGCTTAGTGCAGATGCCTTACATTTAATCTCCAGTAGCACAAAATGAAGAGAGAGAGAGAAAGGAAGAACAAAGAAAGAAAGAGAAAGAAAGAAAGAAGAGTGCATGATGAAAGCACAGGTGATTTTCATTTGCTTCACCTTTTTCTTTAGATATTTTTCTTAGACATTTCAGTTTCTTTCTTGGTAACTGTACTTTCAATCTTTGCACATCAGCCTTGAACAGTGAATACAAGGAGCTTACATTTCCCACTTGTTCAAGGCAGTTCTGAGATTCCATCTCCCTGTTCTCAGCATCATTCCCCCCTGAGATCTTCTCCATCTCCCTGAACATCATCTAGACACCACTGATTACAAAGTTTTTAGATCTCATTCCAACTTTTGATAGGCTCCATACCTCTTTTCCCCCTTAACTCCAAGAGGGGGTCCGAAATACACTTCATACACAGTCTGAATAATGCACGCTCATCGGCTGAGCCTGCAGTGAGGCAGCACTGTGTGGGGGTTCTGTGAGACCTGCTCAGAGTCACATTGTGAACCACATGAGGAAGTCTGAGCTAAAGGGGACTGAGGGGCTTCCCAATGCTGCCATGGTTTGGACCTTAACTGTCCTAAAGCAATCATGTGTTGAAGGCTCGGCCCCCAGCCTGCGACGCTACCCGGAGGGGATGAAAGCTTGAGGATCTAGTGGGAGGATGTCGGGTCTTTGCGTGAAGCCACTGAAGGGGTTATTGGGATCCCACCCTCTATTTTTGCCTCCTTGTTCCCAGGAGGTGAGGGCTTCCTCTGTTATGTGTTCTCATCACAATGTCCTGCTCTGCCTCAGGCCCCAAAGAGATGAGAACAACTGACCATGAACTGAAACCTGGAACCGGGAGACAAAATAAACCTTTCTTCCTTATGCTTTGCTTCAGGCATTGTGTCACAGCAATGGAAAACTGACTAGCACAGAGGTGCAAAGGAACTTAATTTCGGGCAACTGGAGAGTTTCGTAAGCCTAAAATCCTGTGTGACTCGATTGGCAGCACAGTGCAAAGGATGGGTCAGAATAGTTTCTCTGGTGTGAAAAATTCAAAGTGTAAATAAGATCCAAATTGTAACTGACAATGCAAAATAGGAAGAAAAGGGCTGAAGGTATAGGGGGAGTGGGAAGGGTGGGGGAAGGAAATAAGGGAAAAGAAAGAATATGAGAAAAGGAAAAAATGTAAATAGTCTTTGTAAATAGGGGAGGGAGGGGGGTGAAGAGAGGACAGGGGAATGGAAAAAGTGAGAACCAAGACCCATCATGTAAAGGTGCAAGATCCCAGTGAGGAATGTAACTGTACTGTATACCTAAGATGTACCAATAAACTCAATGAAAAAAAAAAAAAAGAGAATGGACCGGACACACTGCTGGCTGAGTGGCTGTTGGGATTCAGATCTAGAAGGTCCCCCATAGCCTCATGTGTTCAGATGTGTGGCTTTGGAAGGCGGCTGGAGCACAAAGCACTGTGCTCCTCAATGGATTCATCCATGGGCCAGTGCCCAGCAGCACCTGCCGTAGGAGGCAGCCCTGGTTGGAGGTCACTGATGTATGACCTGGAGAGGTGCACTGTGGTCCCTGCCTCATCCCTTCTCTCTCTACTTCGTGGATGCAGCTGTGAGCTGCTGTGCTCTGCCCAGACCTTTCCACCACTGGAGCCATCTGGCCATGGACTGAACCCACTATAACCATAAGCCAAACAAATTCCCTTCATTGATCTGTGTCAAGTATTTTGTCCCAGTGATGGGAAAATAACTACCATGAAGAGCTTGCATGAAAAGGTCTCCTGGCAGTAAAACTTTTGCAAGCAATATGCTCAGACAGAGAGATACTTTGATCGGTTCATATGCCCTTCCACTGTGTCCATTCTCTGCAAGCTCATAGGTCTAGGCTTTGACTCAGTGTTGGCTGTTTGCAGAATGTCCCTCTTCTTGGAGCCCAGCATTCATAGCACTCCTTACCACTGCAGTCCAATCCGAAAGACATAGCCACTGCCTACACTAATCCTGCCCCAGGTCTTCCTGTAGGAGTAAGTCCCGTCTCTCCGTCCCCACACTGCTTCCTCTTCCCTTTTCACTTCCAGTCCACTTCAGTTGTTTCACTGTTGAAGTTAGCTGTTTAATGATGGCCAGTGGGATGGCCTGGTAAGGGGGAGTTTCTGCCCCCTTCATTTCAGCACCCTTCAGTGTGGATGATCCCATAGGCAAATTCTCTGAAACTTGTAAAATTAAGTAGTTGCTTAATAAATGTTGGGGCAGTTATTCCTTATGTAGGAGCAGGGGTCTGTAGATGAGAAAATAGAATAGAGGCCTCCTTAAGTCTTCTATCTATTCCTGACTAGAAGGAGTTAAAGGCAAACTTTGCTAGAGACACTCCCCTGAGAAGCAGGTCAATGACAGGGGAAGAAAAAGAGAGAAAAGCCAGATAAAGAAAGGCACCAAGTGGCCTTAGGACTTGCACCAAGAGACCAGAAAAGAATAATAGTAAAAAAAAAAAAAAAGCTGACAGGACACAGAGAGAAGGCCAGAGGTGCAAAAATAAGCCACCCCCCACCTCCAATAAAATGTAGGGAAGACGAAAGGGAGGGGCTAGCTTTCAGGCCGTGCGGACTCACACCTATGCCCTAACACGTACGCTCATGCACATGTGTGGTCCAAGTGGAGGGGAAGTGTCACTCACCACCCTCTAGAAGCATCTGGGAATACAGAGCCCACAGGGCCTTCCTTTCCAGAGCCGCCCAATTCTTCCTTACCAGGGTAGCTGTCTGTCTTCTCCTCTCCCCCTTCTTTCTCACCTTTACAAATAAAGCTTCTTTCCTCCCTTACATTCTGTCCTTCCAGTTTTTACAGGCGCTGCGATTACTATCCTGGTGGGCTGCATGGACAGCAGAACAGCAGCACTTGACCGCAGACGCGACATCTTCGGTTCCCCAACCAGGAGCCTGCTGTCAAACTTTGGGTGGCTGTCACTGTTCTTTCTTAAACAAGCAGAGGAAATGAAGTTCGTATTGGAGTAAGTGAAATGACTCAGTGAGGCTTTCAATAACAGCAGAGATAAAACTCACTGACCACTTTGCCTAGGTCAGGCTGACTGATATTAACTTTTATCCTCAGAACAATTCTGACAACAGTCGGGATGGAGCGCTACAACTAATGGCAGGGGAAATCAAATCCATTTAGCTGCAGAACTAAAACTATAATAAACTTGAGGATTCTGATCACAGAACACCAATAATTACTCCAGAAATAGTGTAGGACAACTGGGTAACCATCTGGAAAAAGTGATGCTGATAGCTCTTTCACAACTTCCCACAAAATAAATGGTAGCTGGATCTAAGATTTAGGCATGAAAAGTGAATTTCTAAGCTAGAAGAAAATATTCTAACACTAAAAATAGGTCTCGGAGTGGGGGACACTTCACACAAGAAAAAGAACCCACAAATGATGAACTTTACTATATGAACAAACAAACAAAAACAGGAGAAATATCTGCTCAGACATCATACCCCTAGTATACCGTTAATGTCCTTAGTCCACAGTTTCTCTTTATCGATAAGAAAAGAATAACAATGTAAGGAATTAATAGGAAAATTATATGGTGGACTAATTCACAGAAAATTACATATGCACAGCTTGTAAATAAGTAGAAAGGTATTCACCTCTATTCATGATAAGAGAAATGCAAATAGGCATTATTGTATTACATTTCTTACTTACCAGGTCAGCAAAAATAAAAATGTTGACAACGTGGCAGTGTGAAACAATGTACACTGCTATGAATCACTGGTGGGAGTTTAAATAGACTATCGATAATTTTCTAAAACAAATTGAAAAAATTAAACTGAAAAATGGAAACACCTTTTGACTCGGTCATCAATTTAATTTATAGCATTTTTACTTACTGATAGGTTTGCCGCAGACACGTACACATTCAAGGCTGTTTCAAGGCAGCATCTTCATTTTGGAAATATAGATTAAAAACAAGCTGAATGCCAACCAGTAGAAAACCAATTAATAATTGTAGTAACCCATACAATCAATAATATGCTACTGTCCAAAAGAGTGAGGTGGTTTTATGTAGCAGGTAAGAAAAGATCTCTGAATTAAATTATAGCAAGTTGTTAAGTGCAGGAGGCAGGGTTAGTGTACACCATATATTCTAATTTGTGAAAAAAAACGAAAGAACATAGCACACATGCAAGATGAAATCTGCTCCAGAAGACAGTCACACTAGAAAGCATCCACCTCGCAGTAAGGAAAGGGAGATTCAGAGATGATCTGAATCACCTTCAGAATTAGCTGTTAACAAAGGAAGAGAGTTAAACCCGAGTGACTCTGATGCTTGGTTTTTACTTTTCTCCCTGACGAGTACGCTGAGCTTTTTGGTGAGGGATGGGAATGGAGTGGCAGAAACTGTGGTCCTTCCCCGCCAGAGGAGCTCAGAGTGGGTGAGAAAGGCACATCTGCTCGTGGAAGCATCGTGATCTCCCAGACCCGGGTTCTATGCTGTGAAAGGATGCAGAGGTCAGCTGGAGTCGTATTTTGGGCGGAGACTGATCAGTTTATCACATCATAAAGAGAATCAGGGCGCAAAGCCAAGGCATGAGCCAGTGGCCCCAAAGGGTTGCCATGAATCAGTGAGCTAAAGAATAAGATGAGTGAATGCACTCAGAGATTTTCACAAATATCTATTAACTCGGGCACAAAGTGGTGACCGAGTTAGACAAGCTGGCCAGCCTCCACCCTGGGGAGGGAAGACAGGCTGAAGATGCAAACAGATAAGAGGACTTCCGGAGTGTTAAGTGCTATGCCATTTTTTGAATCCAAAAGAAAAAAAGAGCGCAGTGATGGAATGAGGCGGTGGTCACAGAGTTCCTATCTAGATCAGCCAGACAGATTCTGTGGAAGGTGATATTTGGGTAGAGATCTGAATTATGAGAAAAAAACTCATCAAAAATGAATGAATATGGGTCTGGGATTTAGCTCAGTGGCTCTGCAAGCGCAAGGTCCTGAGTTTGATCCCTGGTACCAAAACAAAGAAAGAAAGAAACAAAAAGAATGAGTGTGTCTGGGAGAGACAGGAAGATCTCAAGTTTGAGCCCAGCTTGGGCAACTTGGCAACTTAGTGAGACATTGCCTCAAAATAAACTAATAAAAAGATCTGGGGATGTAGCTCAGTGCAAAGGCTTTAATCTCCATTCCTAGTACCAGTAAATGGGAGAAAGAAAACAGCAAGGAGAGAGAGAGAGAGAGAGAGAGAGAGAGAGAGAGAGAGAGAGAGAGAGAGCCAGGCAGTGAACCAGGAAGGACAAAGGCAGGTCCAAACTGGACACACTCTTCAGGCAGAGATTGGGTTTATCCTTTGGGGAGAAAAACCACAGGAAAATCAGTCACAGATGGGGCCAAGTCAGATCATGTAAGGCGATGCTAAAGAGTTTTAATCAATGAGAGGCCACTGGAGAAAGGGAGGGTGTGGTCTGTAAGATTCCCCCCGCAGTGTGTGTGAGAGGGAACAGGGCTGGCAGCTTGGGGGCCGCTAAGGACACTGTGCATGACAGGCGGTGTCGTAGGGTGTGGGCAGAGGGTCGGAGAGAAGGGAAAGGCAGGACATGCTTAGAATTGGAGATGGTGGCTGGGGCAGGAGGAGACAAGAGGAGGACGGTCCTAGGTGACTCTGGGCTTCTTGGTTTTAGCAACTCATGAGTGAGTTAGTGTCTGCTCTGATGGGAGAAGGCTGCAGGGAGTTGTCTAGGGCAGAAGGGGGGATAAGTGACCACATTCAAAAAGCCAAAGAAGTAGGGCTGGGGATTTAGGTCAGTGGCACTGCCTGGCAAACACAAGGTCCTGCATTTGGTCCCCAGTACCAAAAAAAAAAAAAAAAAAATGCAGGGGAAAAATAACAAATCACAACTTATTTAATAGTATTTTCAACATGTAATTGGTATAAAATTCAACATGTAAATTGGTACTAGATCTTCCAGATCTGGTATGTATGTTTTCTCGAAAGGCACGTGGCGTCCGTTCCAAGCACATTTCGAGTGCCTGGTGGCCTTCAGGGGTTCACAGCTGTCACACAGGAGAGAGCAAGTCCACAGCCCATGACTTTTACTAGGGAAAAATTCTAGAGGAAAACGCCATGGCTACTGCTTATAAAAATGTTCTGAGTGACCGTAGAACTGTCATGGGTAGAGTAAACCCAGTGTAAGAGTTGAGGAAGGAGAAAGAAATTAATTCTTACCCCAAACACCTTGCCTCAGCCTCCCTGAAAGCTTATTTCTTTTTCTTCTTGCCAGTGAACAGAAGCGGTAAAGGGTGAATGGATAAGAATATTCACAACTGTTCACATTTGTACCTTTTTCTTTTCTTACTATATAGGCCAAACCCCTAACACTCAATCAGATAGAAATTAGAGCATGCTAGTGTCACCTTGTACAAGGACATTATTACAAGAAGTACAAATTATGATCCTCTTCACAATGTGGACGCTCCTTTCGAACTTTCTGATGTCCCCACGGAGCGAATCCAATCCACCACCTGCTTTCCAAACATCTCCCTGAATCAAACAGAAAATGGCTTTCTTTCCAACGTGAATAATATTCACTTTTCCATGTAGGTCAGAGCCAGCCAAACAGCTCCTGTGTCTGAAAGCCTATTTCAGACTCGGCTGTCATGACAACCATGGGATGCAGCCCAGGTGTCTTTTATCTCCTGACACACTGACAGCACGTTTGCAGGTCTGGCTGTGATTTCTGGGGAGCGGTGCCTCAGCACTGCCCTAGGGACGCTTCAACCTGCAGGGTCCTGGCGGGGGTGCGGATCTCACTGACTGCAAAAGGATTCGCTTCCACGTGGCTCCTGAATTCATCAGATCAGATCGGAAGAGGTGGGGGTGGGCTGGGCTTCCTAATGGGAAAAGAGTCCCTGTCACTGCAAGAGCAAGTGGGGGCCGAGGGGGTGGTGAAGGCCCAGTTGATGCTAGAATTCGGCTTTTCAATCTGCTCGATTCCCATCCTGTCCAAGGACACAGGCAGGGCAGGCTCTGGAACAGCTCCCCCTGCCCAGTGTGAAAAGACATTGTCTTCCTGATCGCCCAACCCTGGGACCTCGTTCCTATGCTATATGCGGAGGAATATGATCTTAAGGTTACCCTTCCTCCCTCCAGTGGTCCCTGCTCACCTCTGGATTGCAGACACTGCTTCTCGGATGTTGGGAGAGATTAGCTGATTAAATTTACATGATAATAACTAAAGTTACTGACTGTGCCTAGTGCAGTACACATTGTTTTGAGCAGTTCCTGTTAACTCGCTGGGTTCTCACTCTGTTCTAAGCGTGCATTCCTGTTATCCCAATGTTAAAGGTGAGGAATTAGAATCTGGGAGAGAAATGACCTCCCATGGCCATTGGATCATGGTGAGCCACTGCCTGTGAGGTCTCAGAGACTATACTCTTCAGCTCTGCCTCTGTGAACTCCAGGACACAAGTCACAAACTCAGGGTAGACATGTATGTGCTCTTGGGCCATATTTTTTTTTTTTTTAGTGTTTTTGAGACAGGGTCTCACTGTGTAGTTGAGACTGACCCCTGGAACTCACTATGTAGCCCAGGCTGGTCTCGAACTCACAGTGATCCTCCTGCCTCAGCCTCCCGAGTGCTGAGATTACAGGCCACCACGCCCATCTTGGGCCATTTCTTTTTTCATGTGAAATGAAAACACGCACACACACACACACACACACACACACAGAGCAGTGATGGCAGCAGCACCCAGACAGAATGATCAGCAATCGATACTCCATAAAACATTTTCACTTATAGCATCACCTGCTACACTATGCCATATCTGAGCCTTTCTTATATTCTTTTCTTAATTATGGAATTATCAGAAATTCTCAGTTAGAAAAGACCTCAGTGAATAGCAAAGCCAACCTCTCCATTGCACGATATAAGTCATTTAAATGGACTAAGTAGATCCCAGGATGGCACAAGTTCTTGGTGGTGGAGTTTTGTCAAAAAAATGTCCTGATCCTCTAGGCATGCTGTGTCTGATTTACTTTTTAACAATGCAGTGAGCTGCTTTATGATCTCCACTTGGAAGAGAAAATGTAGATGTGAGAAAAGCAATGTTAGGTCATTCAATTTGGTAGAATCTGTGTGTGTGTGTGTGTGTGTGTGTGTGTGTGTGTGTGTGTGTGTGTACAAACAGAATCTTCAAAAGCAGCAGGAAAAAAAAGCATGCCAAAAATTCTAAGTTTCTTGGTTTCGCCCTTTGCCTCCCTCTTGGAATTAGCTTCATTCTGAGCTTTTGAAATTGCTACCTGCTCATGGCAGTGGGGAGTGAAGCAAATGTTCTCAATCTGAATGGCAGGGCCAGGGATTTAGCTCAGCGGTTCCTAACCTTTTGGAAGCCTTAAAAGAAAAAAGAATGAAACCAAGAAAGAGCGAGAGGAAAGAGAAAGGGGAAGGGAGAGAGGGAGGGAGAGGAGGAAGAGCAGGTGGAGCAGGAGGAGAAGGATAAAAGGGAGAAGAGGAAGAAGGAGAAGGAGGAGGAGAGAGGAAGGGAGAGGAAGAGAAGAGAAAAGAAATGCAAGGAAAAAAGGAACGAAGAAAATACCCTAGCCCAATTCCAGCCTCCCACCCTCAGAAATTCTCATCAATTGCTCTGAAAGGGTTTTTTTCTCCCTTTACAAAGCTCCCAGGGTTGAAAACCACTTTGCTAGAGGAGAGAGAGGGGACTTTGGTATCAGAATCCCTGGGCCTTTTTCCGGATCCTGTTGTGTCTGTGCTGTGTGGTCACAGGTAGCTATTCCAAGTTCCCCGTCACGCAGGACACCTGGCCACAGAGCCAAAGGTTTATAGGCGATGCATAAACCCGGGCAGGAAAGAAAGCCCCTTCACACCCCGCGGGTGTGCAGACAGGGGACCCCGCTGCCTCATGGGTGGGGCCAACTTCCTGATTCATCTGTGGACAGAGGTCTGTGAGATCTGAGATCTGCTTCCCGCTTTCCTGCCTCTTCTCATGTAGGACTGCGCTGGGATGGATGGACGGATGGATGGATTTGGAAAGCTTTATCTCACAGCCGCTCCCGTGGGGCAAACCACTCCCTGCTCCTTAGCCTGTCTTCTGTTCTTTTCATGACCCTCACCTCTTTCTTGTGTCAGCCCTGCTTTTTTCGTCGTACTGCACCAACGCGGCTTTATGTTTATTCCGATACATTTTTTCCCCCTCTGTGCTTGTAAAGGAAAAAGTCTAAACACTCCCGGTGTTCCCTATCCATCACGATGGAAGGAAAGCAGGATGATCTCTAAAATGAGCCAAAGAACAGCCTGGTAACTGAGGAGAGGTGAGGGACATGGGGGACAGACTTTCCTTTTCCATGAGCTCTTCATTCCTTTAGACCTCTGGGTGAGTGGTGTCATGAGACAAGCCTGGGGTGCTGGATTCATTTACAGTTGCTGTGCCACACA